CGTTTTGCGCTGGCCGCCCGCCCGCCGTGCGGCGGCGCCTGAAGCAACTATTTCACAACAGAGGTGTTGCACAGTATTATACGAAATTGAACGTATTAAGAATGACAGCATCCTTTAAAAGTACAGATCTTTCCTCGCAAAATGAATTAAGATACTTATCGTACACTGGAAAAATCTAAGGGCCTTTAGCTGAGGCAAATATAGAGGTTTATCCGGTTGAGGTATAACAAGGTGGGAAAATCTTGAAAGATAATTAAGTCCTGTTACACCAAAGAGGTGTAGATAGTTTTAGTGAATTTTGTCTCATGGAATTGACTCTCCCCCATTTTTATCAAAAATCTCAACTATTATTCTCCGTTGGACCAAACAGACAAAACAAAAAAACAAGCAAACCCTCATTCTTCCAAGACATTATACTTTTTATCCAAAAACGTCGTGAGCAATTGTTGTTTGTATTTACATGTGGGCCAATTAACTTTGAGTCTCGACTGGCAGGTGGACCAAATCTCCCGTGCCGAAAAAACGCGTGTACGTTAATTACTGGAAAAACAGGTGCGCGGACAAAAAATCGTTAACGAAATGTCCTTTAACCGTCTGAAATATACCTCTGAACCAATACTTATCGCGAAGAAAATAAGATTCGTTTCTCTAACGATGCTCATGGTGGATCCCAGGTCTCATCTATTTCTCTGTGGGCCGATTATTGAAATTCATAGACAAAGCTATAGAAAAAGAAGACGAAGGAAAAACAGAGCAATCCTGTTAGTTGAAACTGGTGGTTCGAATAGATTAAAGGAGAAAATGATTGACTAGCCATAGGGTCTTTCGTGAGTTGCCGTCAGCTAGTCCATCACGTAACTCTATTGTCCATTGCAACCATCCGTGTTCCTGCAATAGGATCGCTACATTTTCCCTTTGCCTCTTACATCTATCGCTTTGTCTATCAATCTCTATAGTCTTCACAGGTAGAGTTGAAAATCTGAGCAAGTGGTCTTATTCACTCGAAAGAATGCTCCGAAATTTTTGAAACTCTTTTGTCTATTGCAACCACCCGTGTTCCACCAGTAGGATCGCTCCATCTCCCCTTTGTCTTCTTTGTCCATCGCTTTGTCTATCAATTTCAATAATCAGCCCACTGAGATCGATTCTCAACACTCGAGTCCGTACGATGAAGACTCATCAGGATCAGACGACTATGAAGCCGTGCTAAGGAAAATGCCGTATGAGCTTTCAGGCGTTGCCAAATCTCCCTCAATACTTCAATAAATCACTAATTTTAAGGAAAATCTGTAAATGATTTCCTGCGAATTTTTTAGAGGGTTTTGCTCATAATTTCACGGAGAAAAAAACTTTGTGTGTGAGACCCAAAGTTTAGGTCATATGGAACTCTGAAGTTTTCGGATTGATCATGCGAACACTTAAGGTCCAGCTGCTGAGGTTTGGATCACACATCTGAAACTTTAATTCTTACATCTGAAGTATTTCGGTTTTCACATCCGAAAAAATTCGGATCTCACATCTGAAATACTTCAGATGTAAGAACTGAAGTTCCAGATGTCTGATCCGAACCTCGACAGCTAGACCTAAAGTGTTCAGATGATCAGTCTGAAAACTTCAGAGATCCATATGATCTAAACTTCGGGTCCCACGCACGAGTTTTCTTTCTCCGTGTTGATCTGAAGCGCCTGAAAATTTCAAGGAAAAATATTATTAAGTTCTTCAAAAATATTTATCCTAAGAGCAATTTGGCAACAGTCAAAAGTTCATAAGGCGTTTTTCCTTTGCACGGCAGTATACTGGAAGGAAAAAACACATTGGATCTAGAGTCCCGACTCTTGAAAACATTGACAGTAAAAAATACTCTTGATTCAATCGGATTTTTGCTTCAATCAAAAGGAAATCCGCTTAAATTGAGAGGCTTGATTCTTTATTTAAGCAAAAATCCGATTGAATCAAGAGTATTTTTCCCTGTCGATGTTTTTAAGAGTCTGGACTCTAGATCCAATGTCTTTTTTTTCCAGTGTATGAGAGTTGGATCCATCAGTGCATAGTGAAAATATTCGGGGGCGCCGGGGGGTATTTGATTGGGGGTATATTTGAATGGGGGCCGATCAGGGGAGGTGATTGCGGGGTGGATCGTGCTGCGTATTTAATTAAAAAAACCGCCTTCGACAACATACATCGCGGATATGAGCTTTCTTTCTAACACGTGCTCCTGCAGCTGAGCAGTGAGGAGTGAGCATTCCTCTAATACAATCGGAGGCATTGTTCTTGCTCCGCCGGACTTCGGGCGTTGATGCCAGATTGGGCAAGAGGCTGAGCGCTGAGAAATTTTCATCGGCGGATGGAACTTCAGATGCAACTTTAAGTAGACGTAATGTGGGTATACCATTAAGAAAACCAGTCATAATCGATGGTGAAACTGCAAAAATGTGTATCTCAGTTGTAGGGTTTCGAAATCTCCGCTCCCATTTTGTTTTTTAAAAAAGGACCCAACCAACATTGTGGCTGGAAATTTTTACAGAATATTCATCATACATATTCATCATCACCGACTTTTAAGAAATGACGTTTGGTAGTTTTCCACGCGCGGAGAAAATATAAAGTATGACAGGAAGTTTGCAACGCTGCAACAGAGATACGCATTTCTGCAGTTTCACCATCGATATGTGTCGTAAGCAGAGCGAATCGCCGAGCTTTCCAAATTGCGGTATATTTGTGTTGAATAAAAAAAATGTAAAATTCAAAAATAAAGAAACAAGATAGACGGCATTGGTCTTGTTTGGAATTCAGAAATATGTTTTTTTTTTTTTTGTATTTGCTTACATGCATGGTACCATCTGACACCTCATAAGTGCATGTAGTGAGCTCGATGATCCAAGTTGGGTTGGGGTTGGATAGGCAACTAAACAAACTCCTTGGTGAAGCTAAATGTATCACCAGAATTCGAAGGCGCTTCACTCCGAGATCTTAGCTTAGAGGTTTTTTACCAATGCAATATTCACAAAGTAAAATGCGAATTTTTGAAATTTGCGGAGTCAACACGCATGCCGCTTGCAACTTGCTGGTGATTGCTAACTGCGACATTTCCTGTTCTGAAGCAACGGTATGATTAATTTCGATACTAAACGGGATTTTAACATCACAGATCATTATGAAATGTAGTTTATCTAGTAGTTTATCTTAGTATCACTTTATATCTCATTGAAAGTATTTTAGAAGGTTGTGTATTCGTTTGGATCCAAAACGATACTGTGATATATTTTAATGAATTGGATCCAAAGATAATCTCTCCTAATGCTTTTAATGAGAGTTGAGAGATACCTATCAAATATTCGATAGCCAATCATGCTTCGTTATTAATAAAACCTCTATTGATATTTCCCGAGCTGGATAGTTGGTTATTTGAAGAAACCTCAGAGATGCTCAAACGACAGTTTGGCAACGCAGCTTGATGAAAATCATTACTCGTCCATATCCAGCTTTATTGTTCATATTCTTGTCTTATAGGTTTGTTTGCTGCTGAAGCCCCCTGGGCTAAAAATCGGGGAGGCGGGGGGCTTTACGTCCTGCTCTCTCCTTGCAGTCGTATTCTACGAATGTGGTGGTTCAATGGTATCCCACTCTCAAAGTGGACTTACTTTGACACGCGGCTATTGTTTGCGATGACAAGATATCAATCCTTCAATGAAACTAGGAAAACGCATTTTTCTTAGGTGATGATCTAGGATATTCCGATTGAAGATGTACAAAGAAAAATCGGCTTCATTATCCCAAGAAAATGTGTTCCTGGTATTTAATGTTGTGATAAGGAAAATACTTTTTTGGCTCAGAGAGGCGACTCATAGCGCAATAAGGTAAAATTTTCGTTGTGACGCTGAGAGTTCTGTAATCGCGGTGAGGATATAGTTTCATTTCACGATGCGTTTATTTTAATGACAAAGATAATGTCCCTAAGCACAGCATACTTCACGGAAAAAAGTGTTAGGGGTTACCCCAAAAAATTGTGGTGTTGCCCCAATATATTCGACCATATGGATTGCATTTTGCAAAAAGGAACCACTAGCATTGCAATGATGCTAAGATTGTGCAACTTCATCCTTTGCAATAAAATTGCGGAAAGCGTGAAAAACTATGTTTAGATGGTAATTTTTGTCTTAAATTCACAGTTTTTAGCGAGTAAGATAGAAACTATTGATGGATAATCGGGTTTTTCCTCCAAGACAAAAGAAGTTGCACAATCTTAGCAACATTGCAATGCTAGTGGTCCTTTTTGCAAAATGCAATTCATATGGACATTTCCAACTAATTGGATCGCATTTAGCAACCAGGAACCAGCTTGATTACAGTGTTTTAAAAAAGTGCAACTTTCCCTTTTTTTAAAAAATACCTAATATAAGTACAGGTTTAAAATTTATACAATTGTTTTCCTTTAAAGTTAATAAGTTTTTGGAGGGAAGCCAGAACTGCTTGCTGTTCTGGGTGATTTTTTAGATGGTTATGAAGAAGCAACATTTTTACAACATTGTAATCGCACTGGTTCCTCTTTGCTAAATGCGATCCAGTCAAGGTAGTTCGGCAAGACGACGGTGACTACCAAACCACGTATCTCGTTTGCGGTGTTTAAAAATCTACGCTCACATTTTATTTTTTTGAAGTAGACCAAATCAATATCATTCCTTGAAATTTTCACGGAATTTTCTCCGCACAAAGAGGAAAAATCACAGAAATTTTCAAGACTAGATGTTTAGTAGTTTTTCATTTAAAAAATAAAGTATGACAGGAAGTCTGCGACACGACGTCGCAATCCGAGATAGGTGGTTTGGTAGTTTCACCGTCGCAGAGTTGAGTGAGTAACCTTATTTATTAGGGTACCACCACAATTCATTGAAAATGACCAAGTCATCCAAAAACCCCAACTTTTTTTCATCCGTGCTACTAATACATCTGTATATGGGGAGACAGGAGGCAATGGAGACATTTGCGAGGTGTACACAAACTGAGGATGCTTATTGATTTTATTATTTTATACTCATTTTATAATAATTGAAACGATCCAAAAGATCAATTAAAGGCTCTTAAATAATAATCTACAAATCAAATTTCAATGCAATATTATCTTCCGGTCTCCGTTAGGTCCTCGACATATCTTCTTCACGATCTTCCTTCGACTATTTTTATCCTTGCCGAGCTGTCAGCCGCCAGACTCTCAAGCGCAATCAGCACATCACCGTCGGCATTTTGTTGTGGTGGAATAAAAGTCTTCCCCTCTGAAAATTTAAAAAAAAAATTAACCAATATTAAAAATTGAGGACGTTACTTTAAAACAAGCAGGAAGCTAAATACGCATGTGTTGGGGAGATTTATGTGATCAGCGCGCGGTCAGCGGGATTTTAAAGTAAAAATCGTAATTGTGAAAAAACCATCTTTAAAGAGGCTAAGATTTTAAGTAATCTGTAAAAGCTCTTAAATGTGACCGACCCTTCTTTAGAATGATCGTGACCAAGTTACAAAAGCAGGCGAGTTTTATACAAATGTCGAGTGGAATCAGAAACGTTGAAAAGTGCTCAGATGGAAGCGTATATACTCATACATATTTCGAGGATCGAATATTTGAGAAAACGAAATTATTGACAGCGCAGTAGATATTAGAAAATGTGTTCATATTATCCATAATTTTTCAAAGACAAAGGTACACAGGTAGCCCAAACCGGAAATAGTAGAAGCAACACAAGGAAACAGTGGAAACAAGGTTAAAATAAGCTTCATTTTAACCTTTTTTCCACTGTTTCACAGTTCACAAGTTTCACAGTTCCACTGTTCACAAGGTTAAAATGGACGTATTTCTATCAAACGGACCTAAGCGCCATAGGGTGAGGAAGATAAAGGGGGGCTTGGATTGGCGGCGGAATCGGGCGTCCGGCTTATTCCGTCCTATACTCGCAATACTTTTCCATGGCGCTTAGGTCCGTTTGACAGAACGCGCTATCCGGGATTCTAAATTCCTCAAAAGGAACTCAAATTGGCGTTTAGTTCCGTTTGACAGAAATCCATCCAAATAAGCTTCATTTTAACCATTTTTTCCACTGTTCCCTTGTTTTGTTCCCATAATTTTTCATTTAAACCGTTGAAAATGATTTAGTACATTGCAAATACGAGATCTTATAGTTTTTCCCGATTAAAACGAATTTCGAAAGAAGTCAATTACGAAGTTCACCAATCCCCGATGGAACCATAGCTTTAAAACTTTAAAAAAATAGAACCGTACCTTTCAAAATCCCATCATAAAGGGCGCTTGACGGCTGCTCAGCAGAATTAATCCAGTAGCCACGGATGTCTCCCTTCCCTTTGGTCAGTATGACGGTCGCACCATTCGCTGGCACCTTGATCTTGTAGTTTCTCGTCTCGCCAACCCTTTTCATAGTTTCCTTCGTTTCCGAGCCCATTTTCGGCGATTGAGGCATAGACTTTGCCCGGAGAACGAAACGAGATATCTGCTCCGAAAAATCGTCAAACGTGTTCGCACGGATAACATTTTCAGGTTTATTATTCGCGATTTTCAGCAATTCCTTGTCGGTTAGTATATACCATACATTTTGTATGCCGAAGCCAAAAGTTGTGATACCTAAAACAGGGAGTGAAAAGAAAACGTTAGAAATTCAACTGCATGAAAGTTAAATGGACTTATTTCTGCTAAACTGAAATATGTGCATTAAGACAGGATCCCTGAGACCCATAAGAATATATGCATAATAGGCTTCACGTCTTGATGCGTCCAATGGGTTAGTGAATACGGTCACAGAGGTGTATTTTTACGTCTGAAATTTCGGAAATAGTTATGAATATAAATTCTTATTATTTTCTTGTTGTTTGAACGTGTAGGTAGTCGGCAGGAGTGGTCAAGAGGGCCGAGGTAATCATCGGTAATTAGCAAACATTTGGTTATGAGTCTGCCAGAGGGTAAAAGCGCCCGTAAAGGTAGGCAACCCTAGTGCATGTGTGTGGCTGATTGGTTGCCTCCCTTCCTTTCGGAAGACAATTTTTTTTTACACCGTGACTAAGTGTTTTCCTGTCAGTTTTTGGTAAAATTTACTGGTTGCTTTTTTCATCAAAATTTTGCGGGCTTTCACATGGTCCAGTCGGTATTCAAACTTTCTAGCACATCTAAAGTTACAGGTATTTTTCATGTAAAGATGATGCCTAACGTCTCTCCACGAAATCTTTGACACTTGAAACCACAAAAAATGAAAATTACGCCAGAAGTCATCGCCGTAACTCAATTTTCATTGAAACTTGACGCTGTGGACTGAGTTATGGGCAAACTTCGGGAGAAAATTCTCATTTTTGATGGGCTGTGAAGTCGAAAGAAAGCATTTCAAGAAAACCTCTTATAAAACTAAAAAGTCTTATTTTGACCATAAAAATCAATCCCTGAAGTCTGGCTCTTTAACTCAGGGACCCCCTACATATTCACTTGTGACACCTACAGCTCTCAGTCAACGGACTTGCAACTGTATTTTGACCGGGTTTAATGCTTTCCTTTCTCAAAAAAAAAACTCCGGCCGTGGAAGCCGTACTTACGGGCTATATAAATATACCGTTCGCGTTCCGGGCCCAGAGGCCGAAAGTTCCGGACGTAGCACCTGGAGCAATCGAAGCTACGACTTCAACACCCAGAACTTTCGTCCTTTTGATCTCGAAACGGATGGTAAGTCTATATAGTAACTAGGAGACCGGGTTAATATCCCTGTGCTAACCGAGGAATTAATAAGAATCTGGCCACTTATGTATTATAAATTGAACGTATTTACGCTAAAAGGAACTATGTTCCACGCAAACCCTATGTACATAGTTCCTTTTAGCATAAATACGTCCAATTATATGTTGATTGTCATTACGAACGTACTAGCCTCTTCGTCTCTCTTTGTTTTGTCTGAGATTTTGTAAAATTCGATCATGATGTTATGCACTGGATATTTTTATTTTTTAGGATTAGTGCATTTTTTATCTCGCTTTTAAAATGTGAAAACATGAAATGTTGAGTAGGCTGATGATAGCCGAATGGCTGAAAAGCTTCCTTACCAATGAAATCCATAATATGTAAGTAGCCAGACTCTTATCAATTCTTTAGTTAGCACAGGGATACTAACCCGGTCTCCCAGTTATCAATTGAAAGGAATCGATATTACTACAAGCATAATTCTTGTTTACTTTAAGAAGTCTACACTGGAAAAAAAAACACATTGGATCTAGAGTCCAAACTCTTGAAAACATCGACAAGAAAAAATACTCTCAATTCAATCAGAGTTTTGCTTAAATCAAAAGGAAACCCGCTTAAATTAAGAGGCTTGGTTCTTGATTTAAGTTTAAATCCGATTGAATCGAGGGTATTTTTTCTTGTCGATGTTTTTAGGAGTCTGGACTCTAGATCCAATGTGTTTTTTCCCAGTGTACATAGCCCGTAATTTTTTTTTCAATGTTTCAAATCCAAGAAATCGTCATTGCAACAACTATCACACAGAGAGAAAAACTTCGTGCGTGGGACCCGAAGTTTAGGTCATATGGATCTCTGAAGTTTTCGGATTGAGCATTCGAACACTTAAGGTCCAGCTGCTGAGGATTGGATCACATATCTGAAACTTCAGTTCTTACGTCTGAAGTACTTCGGTTTTCACATCCGAAGAACTTCGGTTCTCACATCCGAAAAACTTCGGTTCTCACATCCGAAAAACTTCGGTTCTCACATCTGAAGTACTTCAGATGTAAGAACTGAAGTTTCAGATGTGTGATCCGAACCTCGCCAGCTAGACCTTAAGTGTTCAGATGCTCAATCTGAAAACTTCAGAGATCCATAAGACCTAAACTTCGGGTTCCACGTATGAGGTTTTTTCTCCGTGCATGAGATATATAAAATACCTATTTTAGCAGCATTTTCAGCGGCGGTGTTTGGTCCAATATATCCGTGGCTGTCCCCATCTGCGAAGACGACCATAAGCCGTGGCACTCCACTCTCCTTTCTCTCAGCCGGCAGAGCTTTAAACTGTGCAATCCCCTCTTTCATGCCGACGTACGCATTAGTCCAAGTCGCCGGGTAAATCGCGTTCCGGATTCTCTGCTGAATTCTCTCCATGCTATAATCATTGACAAGGGGAACCTCGACGAAAGCATCTTCGCCACCGTAGCTGAGCATTCCGATGTTGGCCTCCCGGCGGTCGAAGACACCGGCCAGACGCGTCAGGGTGTCCAACCCCTTCTTGAAATTCAGGTTGTCGATTCTGCTACTGCCAGTCATGACCATCATCAGGTCGATGCGAGCCGAGGAGGGCTGCATGTCGTCTTTGAGGAGCTTGCGGACTTTCGTCTGGAAATCGTTTTCCTGGTTTTGACTGCTCGTGTAGTTGTCCTTCCAGTACTTGGCCTGGCCGTCGCACTATGGTCCCAATCCGCTCGGGAGCGCTCAAAAATCGATGTTTATGAAATTGGACGACATTTTTTTTTCAAGTCAAAATTGATAAATATAGTATCTACGGGTCATAAACTACACGTAGTATACCTAAAAAAAATTTCTAGTCACTTTGAAAGTGTCACAAACTGTGCAAATAGTCGGATACGTATTTTCTGACCCGTGAAGTGGCTATTTCTAACAAAGCGTTCGGAGCCTCTCCTGAATCATGAAATAGTCTCTCAGAATTCTTGCTTATACCATTTTGTAGAGGACTCTAAGAGGATTGTAACGCACTAATTACAATTTTTCTCCGAGGCATTCTGACACATCCCACACAAGGTAGAAGTTAGATACCTATTTTTCATAAAAAAATGCCGATTTTTCCCACGAACTTTCATTTTAAAAAAAAGTCACCAAAGGTCACCTAATGAGACACCTTTAGGGAGCTTCTACACATCCTTGGGACAGTAGAAATATTTCGTGCTTTGGTTTGCTTTTTCTCGAGAAATCGAATTTACTAGGTCTCTAAGTCGGTGGCTAAAATAACGGTATTTAGCAAGTTTAGCCATCGATCAATCTAAAGTCGTCTTAAACTTTTTTGAGGCATGCGACACCTCCAAAAACGTGCTTAAGTAGTCTCTATGAATCCTTAAGAAGGATTTTAAACCAAAAATTGTTGGTTCTTCTTGCTTTTTGGACGAATTTTGAATATTTTTCGTACCTGCGTGTTTCTTTCAAAATACTGTTTTACAACCCTGGAAAGCCCCTCGAAAAATATTCTGAGACATTTGGCACCTCCAGAGACACTTTTAAGTCGTTTCTGCAGATCCTTAGAAAGGCAACCGAACCAAAAATAATTGCTTCCGCCTGCTTTTTCGACCAAATTTGAATTTTTTACGTGACTACGTGTTTGTCCCAGGAAAATTCAATTGTTTGCCCCGAAAAACACCTATAGTTGCAGGCTTAACACGTGCTAAGCACTTTTGCATCTACAGAGACGCACTTATATAGCTTCTATGAATCTTTTTGAGGTTGACCGTTTCGAAAAAAATTTGGTTCCCCCTACTTTTTGAGATTTTTTGGGAAGTTTTCCGCTCCGCAGTTTTATCTTTAAAAACGCTCTTTTCAATCCTAGAAAGTACCTATTGATGTAAAATTTCTTACTCTCCGAATATTTATCCATTGTTGATTGAATTTTTCTTAACGTGGCAATATTGCACCCCCGCTCTTCAACATTGTTATGTACCCGATTTGCGTTTCCCGTCAAATCAACGTAAAGAAAAGTCTTCTCTGAAGCATTATTTCGACATTTTTAAAATACAAATGAATTTTAGATCTANTTTAAAAAAAAAAAAAAAAATTGGGGGGGGAGGGGTGTCAAAAAATTAAAACGTCCTTAATTTTGCATGAACTGAACATGTATGTGCAATGAACGCATGGTTTTCATCCAATCTAAGCAAGTATAAACAAGCCAATCGTATGGCAGTTTGTGATTTATGTGAAAAAATGACAGTAACTTTTGCAAATGATTTTTTAGGGAAAAGCGGAGGTCAAATTCGGATTCAGCGCATCAAAATCATGAGGAAAACACATCTTAAATGTATTTATACTCAAACGGAGAGCCGCTATGATTTTTGATCACTGAAAATTGAATTGGGACCATAGTGCGTCGAGGTCGGCCGGAATCTGACCATGGGACTGCTGGGTTTGCTCCAAGTTGATTCTGGCGGCCAGCCCCGAGTAAAGCGGCTTCAGTAGGTCTTCTTTCTTTACCTGGTTAGGTATATGAATTAAATACAAAGTAAGTACAAACTCTACAATGATACATATCGACGGTGTAAGTCGGCGATCACATAACTCGGTTTGCGACGTCACAGACTTCCTGTCATACGTTATTTTTTAAACGAAAAACTACTCAGCAGAAATGTTTTAAAACTTCCGTGACTTTTCTTCACTGTGCGAAGAAAATTCTGCATAAACTTCAAGGAATGATGTCAATTTGTTCTCTTTTAAAATAATAACATAGAGGCGGAGATTTTCAGACACCGCAAACGAGTTATGTGATTGCCGACTTACACCGACGATATGTTGTATGCAAATAGTATGATCAGGAATTTTGTCAAATGCCAAGGCAAATAGTGAAAAATTCTCATTTAGATTGAAAGTTTGATTATTTTTATAATTTTAGACAAAATAATTGATTTCTTCTGTAAAAGCGATTTTCTTTTAAAATTTGTCATCGTAGAATGGTATTTTAAACGGTTTTTAGCTCCTGGGCGAACATTTATCTCGAAAATTTTAGCATGTTTTAAAATACAGAATTTTTAAAATTTTAACATTTAAATATATGAGAAGCATTTTAAGTGGGAGAAACAAGAAGATTCTGTAGATTTAGAGAGTTATTTTTACCATAATATTGAAAACTTGTGAGATTTTTGTCGTAAATCTACAAAATTTCGTTAACTGTCAAAATTTGCTTATCTGCCTAGGCATTTGATAAAATGCCTGATTTGACAATTTGTGTGCGACACACGCATACATAAAAGCCGCTTTCACAGTGCTCTCTGGCGCTCTGCGACACTACCCGCCAAAGTTCTCTGTTCTCCCAAAGCTCTTCAGAGAGTTATCACTCCCTCATATCCTGTAAACCCCTCTGTTGTCATCGTTCCACTGGGCGGAATTCTCCTCCCAGGAGGGTCCCAATCAAGAATCTTTTCCGGAAACTCGAGTGGAGAATGAGAGGAGATAGCGATTTGACTGCTAAATCAGATCCGTCATTTTCCTGCCCTTCCAACACGGATGAAATTCCTTCGAGTCTTTGAAAGTTTTGAAAACCGAATTTTGGCTAAAAAAATACGCGATTAATCATCACGAAATCTACTAACCTGGTGCTTTGAGAATATTAGAGTAAAAACGCAAGTTCTTGTGACCCATTAAGTTCGCATTTGAATACATTCACTGACGGATCCAGTAAATTGGCAACATTGTTTTTCTTCATGTAAACTCATAGAAATGTATCGATTCTTGAATGGGTCAGGTGCTCCGACAAGAATCGATTATTTAGCATAGGGTCAAATGTAGGGAATCCGGTGTTGTCAAATTGCTGGATTCGCTTCTGAATATATTACGTACCTGGAGCCAGTCGATTCCTAACTCCTCCTTGATGCCTGCGTGAATGTCCTTCAGTTCCTGGCTGATGCCACCGTCCGACTCGTCATGTTGCGTTTTCTCGAGTTGGTCGAACTGCCAAACGCCCCCGAAGTAGCCGTCTCTGTAGGTTGTGGGGTCATCGCCAAACTTGCTCTCAACATAGGCCACACGGCGCAAAAAGTCCCGGTCGTCGGGGAACACTCCACTTCGGTTGATCCTGTTGATGACCGTTCCCACCACGTCTCGGCCGTGGGACTTCGGCTCCAGGGTCCGGTCCACCAGGTGGCCCAACGCCGTGGCGCACAGCACGGAGAACACCAGTGTGTTGTACATTTTGAGGGGCATCCCCCAAACGGAGCAACTCCTGCGAAATGGGAATCGCACTGTCAAGAAAAGTCACTTAGGGGCTGTTCAAGTATTACGTAACTTATGTGAAAAAGAACCAAGGTGTTGTGGTTAAACTTTGTAATTAGTAAGATATCTTTCGGCTTATGCCATCATCAGAGATTTTATAAAACCTAAGAGCTGATGAGGTCTAATAAGGCCCAAACCGGTATAGATCTCTCGGCGTGACTCCAACGTAATATTCCAAAGCAAACTGCCTAAGCTGAACACTCTCCCCCCTCAGTTTCGTACTGGTGCGCATTAGAGTTCAAAAAATTTAATTTTGACTCTAATTCTAATTTTTGGTATTTTCTTGGCTTTGTTTCCCCACGAAATGGTGTGGACCCAGCACCATTGCTCCACCTTGTTATATGCAGTTCGGGCCACTTCTTAGTGTTTAAATTTTTTCATTTAAAACCTAAGCATAGTCACATTTTGCAGTTCTTAACGATACTTTATACATAATTTGCTTATCATATATGACTTTCGCTTAATTTTGACATTTCACAAATGAGGAGCTTTCCCGAAAAAGGGCACATAGCATAAAATCGTGTTTGCGAAAAATGAATTTTAAGTTTCCATCATTACTTTGTGGCCGCTGATGGTACCTGTTATCGCAGCTTGGACTCCCGATTTCGAACGTAATTCACAGTCAGTGGCCATAGATTAATGATGGAAACTGCAAATGCATTTTTCTCCAACGCAATTTTTAGCTATGAGCCCTTTTTTCGGATAGCTTCTCAATGTATCCGCGATGTAAAGTATCGTTAAAAAGTGCAAAATGTGATTATGTTTATGTTTTATAAAGTTATAAAAGCTCTGATGATGGCGTAAGCCGAAACATATCTTAGTAATTAAACAGTTTTAACCACAACACCTTGGTTCCTTTTCACAAAAATTACAAACTGGTGTTGCTCAAGTGGAACTCTATTATTTCGTAACGCACTCAGCAAGGAGGGAGAGTTTGAGCCAGCGTCACGATGCGTTGCAAGAGAAAGAGAGAGAGAGAGAGAGAGAGAGA